GTGGCACTTTACTGTCCTCCCTGCACCCAGTTCACGAAGCTGCACTCGGCCTTCATCCACAAGGAGCCCTTCGGCCTGGTGCTCATCATCGCGCCCTGGAACTACCCGCTGAACCTGACGCTGGTGCCCCTGGTGGGGGCCATCGCAGCAGGTGAGGACAGACCCCGTCCGCCCTCCCAGCCGCCGCCCTTCCCAAAGAGGGCCTCCAGAGTCGCGGGGCTGTGGTGGCCCCTGGGGGCAGGCCTGGCAGACGGGGGACCCTGGCCCCGCCTACAGCCCCCTGTGCCTCTGCAGGGAACTGCGTGGTCCTGAAGCCATCGGAAATCAGCAAGGGCACCGAGAAGGTGCTGGCCGAGGTGCTGCCCCGCTACCTGGACCAGGTGAGGAGGACCCGTCCCACCAGTCCCCTCCTGTCCTACTGTCCCCTGGGCTCACCCGCTGACCTCCTGTCCCACCTGGCAGAGCTGCTTTGCCGTGGTGCTGGGCGGGCCCGAGGACACCGGGCGGCTGCTGGAGCACAGATTTGACCACATCTTGTTCACGGGTGAGGGCCTGGCCAGGTCCGGCCAGAGGGAGGCGGCAGAGGAAAGGGCGGGAAGCAGGGGAAGAAGCCAGGGTTAGGCTGGGAATGAATCGGGAGCTGGACTCGGGTTCCAGGGGCCGGCTGGGTCCCCAGGGACTCCTGGAGATTGGACCTGGGTGGCTGGGCTGGGGACAGATGGAGGCGGGAAGGCCAGGACCTGGGCCGTCTCAGTGGAAAGAGAGACAACAAGGGTCAGGGGCCCCCGGCCTCTGGCCAAAGCCAGTTGAGGATGGGCAGCCCTGACCCTGTCCCCCAGGGAGCCCCCGTGTGGGCAAGATCGTCATGGCCGCCGCTGCCAAGCACCTGACCCCCGTCACCCTGGAGCTGGGGGGCAAGAACCCGTGCTACGTGGACGACGACTGTGACCCCCAGACCGTGGCCAACCGCGTCACCTGGTTCCGGTACTTCAACGCCGGCCAGACCTGCGTGGCCCCGGATTACGTCCTGTGCAGCCCCGAGAC